GATGCATCTATTCACATATCAATAATTGGAAATTTAATATTCCATTCATTTCTTCTAATCGTTCTGATCCTGCGTTAGTCTATTTTCGTCGAAGATGAAATTTATCGAATCGGTTGTCGTTGAATAGATTTATCAAAGAAAGTCCGTCAAAACTGCATAAAATCAATCTTATAGGCAAGAATTGTATTTTCGATAATTAGCTCTTCACACCAAATCAATTGATTGAAAGAAATTTTATTTATTTACATTTATTTATGTTCAACAATAAAAATCGAAATTTTATCAAATTAAATTTAAAATTTTTTCATATTTTTGGACTCGATAATTTTCATGATCAACAACATAAAGATTTTCTTCATTATCGAATGCTAAACCCATAGGACGATCCAATTGATTGGGTTGATTTCCTCTTCCATTTCCACCAACAACAATTTCACCTTCTTTATCTCCTTCACACCAGCGCATTACTCGATGATTCAAAGAATCTGCTACATAGATTTTACCCAAATGATCAACAAAGACTCCTTGAGGATGACACAATTGTTTGAGACTACTTCCTTGACCATTTCCACCAGCAACAATAATTCCTTCTTTAGCATCTTTTTTCCATTTCATTACACGATGGTTTCCCCAATCTGATATATAAATAGAGTAATCTTTACCAATAAAGATATTAGTAGGATGATTGAGTTGATTAAGATGATTTCCTTTACCATTTCCACCTGCAACTAATTTACCTTTTTTATTTCCTTGTTTCCATCGTCTTACTTCATTGTTGTTACAATCAGAAGTATAAATATATCCATTTTTATCAATTGTTAGACCCCAACAATTAATATTTGCAATAATAATTTGTTGTTTTGCTTGATTTTGATCAAAATATCGAATTACTCGTTGGTTTCCCCATTCCGAAATAATAAAAGAATTATTTTCTTTATCATAAATTATATCTGTTGGAGAATTTAATTGATTATTTTGAGTTCCTTTTCCATTTTCACCTGCAATGATCTGACTAGTATTTGAATTCAATTTCCATTTAACAATACGATTATTCCATAAATCAGCAATATAAATTGATTTATCATTATCAATAAACATCCCCCAAGGATCAGAGAGTTGATTTAATTCCTGTCCATATCCATTTCCTCCAGCAACAGTAATTCCAAATCGTTGAAATTTATTCTTTTTTGTTCGAATTTGTTCTAAAACAAGAAATTTCCTTTGTATTCAAATTTGCATTAATAAAACAAAATAATTGATGAAAAAGTTCTAGCTCAGTTTTAAAAATACTAAAACTATTTTTTATTCAATGAAACATACTTTGCTTATTTTGATATTGAGTTGATATTTGATTTGTTGTTGAATTATTTGATGTAGTTGCTGTATTATTTGTAAAAGGGTTTAATTGATACCTGCCTGTAGCCATGTTTGTATGAAAGAATATTTTTCGAATAACAAGCACAAAAAGAAAATCTACAAATAAAATAAAAATTTGTTTTTAAAATTAGCGTCATAACTGAGTTTAAATAAAATATATTAATTATAAAT